GCGGCGGGGGGCATTGTCGAGGAAAAACGAGCGGCGACGCTGCGGCTTGAGTGGGAAGCCGCGCCACATGCAGGGGCCAAACCTTGGGCAGCCGCTCTCAATCGTCTCACCATGTTCTGTGCGCCCGCCGTGGTCCTTCGCGCCGCGTTGGCTGCAGGTGTGACAATTTGTGCCCCACCCCCTCGCTTGCAACCCCAGGCCTTGCGGCATCCCTGCCACCTCGCGCTCTCCCACCTCATGCCCCCCAGCACAAACACACACACACACACACATGAATCAACTTACTGTGATGTCATACAACTTTGGGTCGATGTCGCGAGCCAACCGCGCCGCGGCCCAGCCCGTGCCGAGGATCACCAGGCGTGGCCGCCCCGTGCGCAAGGGGATGCTGGTCGGGTGGGAGGCGGGGGGCATTCCTTGGCCAGATCAATGTGGGAGATGTCATGTGGCGTGGTACTGCGGGCTGTTTGGCGCAATTGATTATGCGGCTGCGTTGATGATGTCCGGTTGCGGCACTGCCCTGCCGGCGGCACTGCCCCGCAATCGCGTTGCCCCTGGCCAAGATGCGAGCTGGCATCGTGCGGTGACAGACCCGTGGCTTTGTGTCATTGCGCACCTATCTGCAGCTGACACGGTCCTCTCGGTGTGGGTCAGCCGCACACCGTTCGGCGCGCGTGCCTGCAAGGCAGCTCCTACATGTGGCTGCACACTGTTGGCCGCACACAGTGCGTTGCGGAATGCCAGCCGGCCGCTTGAAGCCAGGGGCACCAGCGCCCGCTGCCATTGCGTACCTAATAGCGCGCCCGCTGCCCACGTGATCATGGCACTATCCGAGCGCGAGCGTTGCCGGATCACGCTGATTACGCCCCGTGATCTGGATTGGGCTTGCGGGCTTGTGATGGATATATGAACAAGAGCTTCATTTGTCGCGCCGGGCCCATCAGTACGGTCACTTACCGTAATATCGCTTTTGGTTAGTTTCTTGTTGTCCCGTGAGCCGCACCCGAGCACAGCTGACGCTTGATACGGTAATACATAGCGTACCTATTATTGTAAGCTATCGAGTTGCAGTGGTTCGGTGGTTCCGGCATAATCTTGACAGCAGTCGTCCGTCGTGCGACACGAGTGGAAAGACTCGTTATGTGCGCAATGGTGGAAAGTTTCGCGGCATGGCTAGGGATAATATGATGTGAACATGATGTTCCTGCCCTTCCTACCACGCCCTTCCTGCTCGGCCGTGAGCTGCCCTGCGAGGCCCTCCTCCGCGCCACCATGGCCGCACTGCTGATTGAAAGCGGCACTGGGGGTCGCGCCGAGCTTGCAGCCGAGCATGCGATGGTTCCGTCCGCCGGCCATATGGTCGGCGAGCTCGGCCCCAATGAACACACCCGCAGTGTCTTGACCGTAGAGAGCCTGATTTGCCATGCACTCAAGTATGAGATCCTGCCGGCTGCCGGCAGTGTATCAGCCTCTCCCCCAAAAGAAATGTGCCACGACGACAGCGCAGCCAACTGCAGCGGGGCGCGCTCTGCCGTGGCGCTCGTGCTGCTTTGGGGACTAGCAGGCAGTTGGACCGCCGCGGCTGCGAATCGGCAACAGCACGGGTGCAGAAGGTGGCAGCGGCCTATTTGCGCGCGGCCTCGACCCAGGCCTTGACCCACTTTTTGAGCAGCGTGCGCAGCTTTGCCAGCCGCTAGAAACACATTGGCGTACGTGATCTACATGCAGTTGCAGACCCCGGTGCCGAATCCACACACTGGACTCACACACATTCAATCTTGCATTTTCATTCAGCAGTCCTGTCTGCTCAGTCTCTCAACCTGGTATGTAAGTGGCTGGGCGTTGCGTGACGACTGTGTGGCGTGGCACACTCGCAGTTGCACGGTCAGACCGCCAACTTGCGCTGCACTTTCACAGGCTCTGTGCCTCGCTCATACTGCAACCCAAACGAGAAAACATGGGCAAAGGCCACGGCGCCTGCACCTCACGAAACACACCGCCAACCTCGACACACCGCGGCCAGCTCCTCGCGGAACAGCAACCCTCGCTCAAGACCACATAAAACGTAAGATTAAATCACCTCCTTACGATAGTGCGCCGTTTGATCCCTCGATTGGACATATCAGATCGCCACTGCCCCCTTAGCGGTCGGTTGCGGGAGCCCTGCTGCAGGCCAAGCGGAATGTGTCTTGCGCTTCCCACCATGGTCAACAGAGAGCCACCATCTGATCACAAACCTGCTACTGCCTGCATGCGCCACGCTCCCTGCTCCCGTGTGCAACCTCAACCTGCCTCGCCTCCTCACTCGCCTCCGTCACCCGCTGGCCCAAACCGCTCAGATGGCCGGAAACAAAAAGGTGCGGCGGCTTGGGTGGTTTGAAGTGATCATGTACCGTAACTCCAGCTCTGGCGTAACCTGTTCCAGTGCCTTGCATGTCAGTCATCTGAAGCCCTGTTTACGGATGACAGGCAACCAGGAGGCTGCTGCCTCCTGCCAACTGCATTGCTGAGGACGCCGCCCGGCGGTGACTGACCACGCATTGCCATGCCAGCAGGTGTTCATTATCTACTACTCTATGTACGGCCACGTGCAAGCGCTGGCGCGCGCCGCCAAGGAGGGCATTGACTCAGTCGAGGGCATGGAAGGCGTCCTGTACCAGGTAAATATCCCTGCTGTCAATCGAAGGGGAGTACACAGCATCTCGAAGGTTTTGGAGGACAAGCTTATTTTTGACACCACAGGGAGGTGGAGCGAGCAGCAGTCAGGAGCCGCCAAACGGAGTTGGATTGTCTGCGTCGAGACATCTGCACGCGGGCGTAAGTAGCGAGGTGACAGCCACAGCCACCGACCACCCCACCAGCCCAACGCAACCGTTGGTTGCAGGCGTGAGTCACGCCCGCCCCGGCGCCCAAACAAGCAACACCCCTGGAAAGCATGTGCCCGCACCTGCAAATGCATGTGCCAGGTGGCGGAGACCCTGCCGGTCGAAGTGCTGGGCAAGATGCACGCACCCCCCAAGCCAGTGGACGTCCCCATCATCGACCCCCACATCATCAACCAGGTGCGTGCCCGCCGCGCGCGCTTGCTTTGCGGCCCGCAACGGCCCGACCCTGCCTCCGCCAACAGCCGCGCCACTGCTGGTGCGTCTTTGCTTTCGGCGCTCATCAGCGGGCGCAGTCGGGCATTGGTGGTGATAGGTGAGGAGCCTACTGCAGGCGGCGGTGCTCGGACTGTCACAGTGGGCCTGCTGCTTTCTTGCCCCCCCTGCAGGCCGACGCCTTCATGTTTGGGTTCCCCACGAGGTTTGGCCTCATGTGCGCGCAGATGAAGGTGCGGCCGCGCCGGCCATGATGGTGGCTTGGAAGGCGGAGCGCTGTGGTGTTGGCCGCTTGCCTGCGGATGGCAGGCATGGTGCGCAGCACCCCAGCAGCTGCCTCCACGTGGTAGAAACGCCCTACGGAGTTGTCTCACTGTTGCTGTGCTTACTCCTCACACCGCCCATTTGCACCCTACCGGCTGGGGCCCCGCCAGGCCTTCTTTGATGCGACTGGCAGCCAGTGAGTCGCCGTCGCGCAGCGCGGTGGAGGGGTGTCCGAACGCGGTACATGACCGGCAGAATGCCTCGAGGTCGGCCGAGCACCTCACCACTTGACGCCAACGCTTGAGCGCTCGCACACCATCCGTTCCCTGATGAATCGCCCCCTGCCTCACGCCCCGCAGCTGGCAGAATGGGGCGCTGGTGGGCAAGCCTGCCGGGCTGTTCACGTCTGTGGCCACCCAGGGGGGAGGGATCGAGACCACGATCATGACGGCCGTGACACAGGTGTGCAGGCCTGCCTGCCTGCGTGCCTGCCTGTCTGCCTGCCTGCCTGCCTGCCTGGCTTGCACGTGTGCAGCGGAGGGCAGCTACAGCTGTAAATCGTTGCTTGCCTGCTGCATTCTCATGGTGCAAGCGCGTGCTCAAGCTTGCAGGATCTGCTGCCTAGTTTTTGTCATCAGAACGGCGTGCCTGCCAGGTGTCCCGGACAGGCACCCCCTGCATGTGCATAACCTGTTGGTATGAAGGCACCACCAAACCACAGCCTTCCAAAACGCCATCTCACCGTGGATCTCCTGCATACCCCCACAGCTGGCGCACCACGGGATGATCTTTGTGCCGCCCGGGTACAGCTTTGGCGCCGCGATGTTCGACACAAACACTGTTAAGGTATGACTGGCTACATCATGACAGCAGTCATTAGCGGATTCGTCTAGTCTAGCGTGTATGCCTGCACCTTGCAGTGAACTTATTGAGTTGTGTGCTTGTGTGGCCGGCTAGCATGCCTCCGGCTTGCCGTCTTCGACAGCAGCTTCCACCTTTTGTCACTGCAGTCCCAGCAACGCATGTGTGTGCGTGCGTGCGTGCGTGCGTGCTCACCTCAATCGCGCACCTCGCCCCTCATCCACAAAGGGCGGCGCCCCCTGGGGTGCCAGCACGCTGGCGGGCGCCGACGGCTCCCGCCAGCCCTCGGAGATCGAGCTCGCCTTCGCGACCCACCAGGTGCGTGCGGGCGCGCGGCCGAGGCAGGGGTAGGGGAGTGCTTTGTGGTGCGGCCGCCCCTCCTGGACATACCAGGGACGACTTTGGCGCGCAACGTCAACAAGGTTTGCACGCACAAGCTGCCTCACACCGACGCAACGTCTGGCCCCAACACTGCTGGTGTGCACCACCTTGCTGCGTCCGTGTTGCTCAGGGCAAGCAGCTGGCGCAAGTCACCAAGAAGCTCACGGCGTGAAGTTGACCTGATCGTGTATTCGCCGATGTCAGCATACGGAGGTGTCAGGCGTCCAATTTGCTCGAGCCGAGGATTTACTAAATTTTAGTAGGCACCGCTTTCTCCCGTGTGCGGCGCTTGTTTAGCTGACACTGTGCGTCCCAGGGTCAGCGGTCGGCTGCATCACTGTCCAATACTGTGCAGTGCGCTGTTCAAAACCGTGCAAGAGCCTCAACCCGCTCGGCAGCCAGATACTGGGTTGGCGCTGCGCATCGTTCCTTTGCGCCTGAGGATTAGGATCACCCTGGTGATTTGGACGAGGGTAACACAGACGTGTGAACCACATCACACAGGCGCGGTCTGCTGTAAAATAGATCTAATGACATCATGAAAATAGAAGTGCAACAACGCGGGGCGGTTCCATGCAACCCTTCGGATGTCAGATGGGGATGAGTGCGCCGCCGCCGCAGTTGTGCTGAGTCCGTCGTCAAGCCGCGGCTCGCTGCTGTTCTTGCTGCGGCCGCGGCTGCTGCTGCTGCGGGGGGGACAAACTGCGGCAAAGAGCCGCTGCCCGTGATGTGCCGCAATCAACCCACCAGCCGCCCAGATGCGAGCGCGGCGCTGCTTTTAGTGCGGCGCCAAGAAGCTCTGGGCCCGTCCCAGGCCCGGCCCACAGCGCCCTTGGCAATGACCCAGCGACCAGGGTCTTACGCACCCGCACTTTCGTGCACAGGGGCGGCCTGCCAGCCGCATGGCTCTGCCGTTCTCTGCCCTGAGCCCGCCGCCGCCCCCTCACGCGCCCATGGACTCAGCCTGCTCGATCTGGATGTAGACACCCTCGGATATGAGGGGGATCTCGCAGTACCAGCCCCTGCAAGTTTGATTGTTGTGAATGTTTGCATGTGGGCGTCAATGTTTGTCCGGCAACACGTTTGCATGTGACCGAGTATGCACGCACCTGTGCGCGTTTGCGCAAGCGCGCGCGTGATCGCATGTGTCCGCGCTGCAATGCGCACGTATCGGGCCTCTGCTGCAACGACCGAGTCCTTAGCAGACAAGGTTGCACCACAGACCTCAGCTTTGATCAACAAAGCCGTCCATCCGCGAGCCCAACACAGCGAGAGCGGCCGGCTGGCGTCCAGCTAGCCCCTGCATCCGGCCCCTTGGCCACTGCCCGGCCGCGTCCCCCCCCCCCAAAACCCGCGCGCGGCGCCCTCACATGAAGCAGAAGAAGAGGCAGTAGATGACCAGGAGGAAGACGAACCAGAACATGAGGGCGTAGAAGAGGTCTGACCAGGGGGACCACAGGATGCCGAAGGGCAGGTTCTCCTCCACCACGATGAGGATCATCGCCACAATGTCCAGCATGATGCCCTGATGGAGGGGCGTTGAATTTGTTGAGGGGGGGAGGGGGACAGGTGGTGGGCGGGCGCGGCGAGGCGAAGCAGGCAGCGATTTCCCAGCAGAGGGCAGTTGGGAGCCGTCGAAAAGGCGCCCAACCCCCATTGTCTGTGGATGCGTGCTCTGTGTCTCGCCCTCTTTCTCTCCCCTGCACAGACACAGACACAGACACACACACACACACACACACACGCATTCACGCGTAGTCAGCTAGCCATCCCTGCCTCCCTGGCCCCCTCCACCCACCATCATGATGTGGTAGCGCGCGACGTGGGCGATTTTCTTGTTCCGCACGATGCCCAGGTACGTGCCGAAGAAGATGATCAGCGGCGCCCACTCGTGGATGTAGAACCAGTGCTCAAAGGGCTCTAGGGGGATGGGACGCATGTGTGTGTGTGTGTGTGTGTGTGTGTGTGTGTGTGCACGTGTGAATGTGTATGTTTATGTGCGTGTGCACGGTGGCGGAGGTGCTATTGTATGTGGCGTGTGCGTAGGGGTGTGTGGGAGCACACGTGCGACACTACCTGCAAAAAACTTCTCTGTTTCACGGCAGTAAGCTGCCCCTGTACCCAAGCGGCATGCAAAGACACAGCTGGACCCAGCAGGGCTGCGCCAAAAGGCCCTGCCACAGCAATGACAACAGCCCGTCCGCCCCCCCTCCCCCCACCACTCACCCGTGAAGTACTCTGTCCAATGGAAGGCGGGGAACCGCTCGATGAAGTACACCGTCTTCTCGGTGACGTCGACCCACGGCAGCATGTACAGGATGGCGCAGCACAGCTTCCACCCCCAGCTCATGTTGCCTGGGGCAGGGAGGGGGGGAAGGGGCCCAACGTGGGTCAGGTGCGAAGGCCCAAGGCGTGCCGAGTTGCTGCTGCCACCGCTGTCCCTGCCGCTGCTGCCCCCGCTGCCGCCCACCCTACCACGCCTTGCCTGTCCGCGTGAAACTGTTTCCGCTCGCCCCCTGGCGGTGCCTCTGCCTCAGTGGGTGGCGCAGCTGCCGCCCCTTTCTTTGCCGCAGGTCTTACAAACAGTAGTTCCTGCCTGCAACCCTGCGAGCGCCTGTCTCATGGCGCCGGAGCCTGCCCCATCCTGCCCGCGCCTGACCCCTGCTCCCTGCCTCAGCACCCAGCCCCTGCTGGCCGCTGCCGCCCCCCCCCCCTCCCCCTGCGGTGCTGCATGCCGCCGCCGGCGTCCCGCGGCCGCGCTCCTCCCACCCTCATTGCGCCCGAACTTCCAGTCCTTCTTCAGCTCGTCGTCCTCCTCATCGTCGTCCTTCTTGGCGCGCATGGCAACCTGCCAGGGCCAGGCGGCAGCACTCAGCGCAAGCACGGCGAACGCGCGTCGTGCAGTGGCAGCAGCACCCTGCACCGTCTGCCGCTGCAGTCGGGGGCCCGCCGGGCTTATGGCTGCCTTTTGATGGCCGGCAGTGCTCAGGTGCCATAATGTCGTGCTGACAGACACCTTGCAGAGCGTTCCAGTGGCTGCTGATTTTGCATAAAACTGCTGATGCACTTCTATGGCGACGTGGCAGCCGTCACCGACGCATATTGCTGCAAACGCAGCCACTTTCGTGCCTGCTGGCCTCCCCAAAGCTTATTCATGACCACCAGATCCAATCACGCACCTTGCCGCGCGGCCGCTGCTGCTGCTGGTGCTGCTGCTGCTCATCTTGCCGCCGCAAGTGCTGATGGTGCGGCAGCGTCGCCACGTGCGGCAGGCCGGCCAGGCCTGCAGAGTCAGGAGCGATGCAAGGTTAGCGCGTGCATCCCTTTGGCCCCCCAATGCGCTCAAACATACCAACCTGGCTGGTGAGATCGTCCGCCAAGGACCCCCGCTGGCTGCCCGCGCTGCTGCTGCTTGCCAGGCCTGCTTGATAAGAAAGGGCGCTTCATCATACGATGCTGGGTAAGGCCATTGGGCCTTAGGCCCGGCGCTGGCGAGGCCTGCATCCCGGCGGCCCCCAGCTGGCAAACGCAAGGGCCGACTCGATGCAGTAATATTCTGTTAATAGGTTGTATAATTCAGATCTGCAGTGTTCGAAGGCGTTGAGTGTGGTGCGGAACCCAAGTGGACGTCTGCTGCGTCCCGGAGTTTGAAAAGCTTAAAAACAAGACACTGGTATCATACACAGGAAGACCTCATATGTATAATCATGTCGTGCAGCAGCTACACGATTCTGCTGCTGACCGCGCCGCACGATGGCGTCGCCCCTGCTGTGCTACTGGCTTTGCGCGATGCAAAACAGCGGGTGCAGGCCCAAGTGAGAACTGCACTAAGCCTTGAGAGTGCGAAGATTGAAAGGAATGAACATGTGTCGTGCTCGCGTCGGCATGCAGGAGTTGCGACGGCTGCCGGCGCTCTGTCTGCTGCAGCAGAGGGCCTAAGCTTCGCAGCTGCTCGATCACGCCCCCTGCCCCTGCTTCTCCTCTGCCGCGACACCTGTGACTAGTACCTCTTCAACCTGCCCGAGGGCCTGGCTCGCCTCATGCTGGAGCACAGGGTCCGGCCAGGCCTGCAGCTCAAGGCGGCGTTTGTCACCAGCCTGCAGAGCACGGCGCTGGTAGGCGTCACCCGGGTGACCAGCCCCAAAGCTGCTCGCAACGGCGGCACCCCGTAGCGCAGCTGGCGGGGCGCCTCGGGTCGCCTTGGCCAAGGACTCTGGGGGACACACGTGCGGCATTGCTCTGCTTTGGCCGGCCCTGCAGTCATGCCGCCCCGGCAGATCACCCGCTGCGCCAACTCCTGCCAACCACCGCTGCAGGGCGGCCTGGGCGGCCTGCTGCTGCGCCTGAAGCAGGACGGCCACGGCCGGCTGGGCCTGGTGGGGCCGCCCGGTAAGCAGCCTGCCGCCCGCGGCAGAGGGGCGCGCGCCGCCGGGGTCTGGGCGGGGCCAGGGAAAGTCTGTGACAACCTCAATCCCAAGCGGCTGGGCGGCGTCCGAACCCCCTGTGCGGCGCCGCGCGCCGCCGACCGTGCCGCAGGGACCGAGGCCTGCCTGGAGGCCCTCAGGAGCTTCATACGTTGGCAGCACCCCGCGGTGGCTGTGGCAGAGGCGGCAGGCGGCGGCCCTTCTGTCACAGCACCCCCAGACGCAGCGCAGGCGGCGGCGGCGGCGGCGGCGGCGGGGGCGGCGGCGCCACAGGTGTATGAGGACGCGTGGCTGCAGGCCTGCGCCATCGGCGCCTCCTCGGCCGGCTGGGAGGCGCCCGCCTGGCTGGCAGCAGCCGCGGACGGAGAGGCTAGGGAGCGGCCAACCGCCACGGCCGCCCTGGCAGGGGAAATTGACGGTGGCGATCAGGGCGGCCCGAGCAGACCCGAGGGGGTGGGCGAGAGCGAGAGCGAAAGCGAGAGCGATAGCAAAAGTGAGGGCAAGAGCGAGAGGGCAGGAGACCACAGGGGCAGCGGCAACAGTGGCGAGGGCAGCGCCGGTGTCAGCTCGGATGCCGGCGGTAGCAGCAGCCGTGGCCACGTCACTACGGCGGAGAGCGATAGCAAGTCCAGCAGTGATGGAAGCAGTGGCAGTGAAAACAGCAGCAGTAGCCACAGTACGAGCACCAGCAGTGACAGCGACAGCGATAGCAGCAGTAGCAGCAGTAGCAGCAGCAGCAGCAGGAGTACAAGCAGCGGCAGCGGCAGCGGCAGCGGCAGCGGCAGCGGCAGCGGCAGAGAAGGAGGTGGGCGCGGCGGCAAGGGCAAGCGCGCCGCGCCCTGCGACACACACGCAGATCTGGGCGCCAAGCGCGCCAAGGCCAGCGCCGATTTTGCTGACCTGGACGCCATCTTCCTTGCGTCTGCGCGCGGCGGGCGCTCCAGCGGCGGCGGCGGGCGCATTGGTGGGCGCGGCGGCGGCTCATCGGCGAGGACCCTTGCGCTCCAGGCTCTGCAGCGGCGCAGCTCGCGGGGCGCCGCACCCGGGACAGGAACGGCAGCTGCGGGGCGGCGGGTGTTGGCAGCAGGGGGCGTTGCGGCTGGGCCTGCGGCTGGGGCTGGGCCTGCGGCTGGGGCGGGGGCACGGGCGAGCAAGCATGATGAGGTGCGGCGAAGCACACAGGGGGCAGCCCCATCGACGCAGCAACAGCAACAGCAGCAGCAGCAGCAGCAGCAGCAGCAGCAGCAGCAGCAGCAGCAGCAGCAACCTGGGCAGCTGCTGGGCTTTATCTGTCACCTTGTCACGGTGCCAGCAAGCGGCAGCAGCCACAGTATCACTGGGCAGCCGGCCGTCGGTGGCGGCGGCGCGCTGATCGCCGTTCTGTGCTGCCCCCACGAGCTGATGCTCCCACCGCTCCAGCGCCACGCGGCTGTCGCCGCCCTGCGGCGCGCCGCGCCGCGCGTCCAGGCCGTGCTGCACCTGGCGCCGCCGCGCGTCGCGGGCGGCGCGGCGTACAAAGCGTGGGCGGCGTCGCTGCCGGGCAGGCAGGTGCTGGCGGCCGCCGGCGGCGGCGGCGCGGAGGGCGTCGGATTCCGCGCGGCAGCCAGGGTCTCGGCGCGGCTGGCCCTGATCAGCCCCGGGCTCTTTCCCCTGCCACACGCGGCGCGGCAGGAGGCGGGCGGCAGCGCATCAGAAACCCGGCAGCCCGGCGGCGGCGGTGGACGAGGCAGCGACGAGGCGGGTGGCGGCCGGCAGGATGGGGGACATCAGAAGGGTTCACACCAGACAGGCGGCGGAGGCGGGAACTGCGATGGTCCAAAACTTCAGGCCGCAGCACCGGACAAACCCCAAACGCAGCCGGCTGTTCAAGCAGCCGTAGTTGCACCTGCAGCAATGGCCCCGGGACCGTCCCCTTGGCAGGCAGCCTGCGACGAGCCGCCGCCAATCGTGCGGCGCCTCGCGCCAGGGGCGATCGTAGAAGGGCAGCTGCTGCTCCAGCTGGCCGGGCCGGCGTGCGATGAGGTCACGCTGCCGTCATCGGCGCTGACGCTCGACGCGTGCGAGGTCCAGAGGGCGCTGCTGGACGAGCGGCCCGAGCTGGAGGCCGCGCTGCAGCGTCTGCATGCGCGGCGCCCAGCGCTGCTGGGGCAGGGTGCGCTGGATGAGCTCTTGAGTGGCGACGCAGCGGCAGTGCAGGATGACCGGGGGGCGCAGCAGCAGGGTCAGGGTCAGCAGACTCCTGACCAACAGCATCGCTTGCAGCAGCAGCATAATTTGCAGGAGCAGCAGCAGCAACAGCATCTGCGATGGCACTCTGTGCAGCACACGGGTCAGCAAGCAGCAGCCAGCCACGTCTGGCAGACCCCGAGCGATGCTCCAGGCTGGCACACTCAGCCTCTGGGTTGGCAGGCGCCGCAAATGTGGGCGGGCTGGCAGGGGCAGCTCCCCGTCAGCTGGCCATTGCCTGTGCCCATGATGGCTGCAGGCTGGGGCGCCTTCAACGTCCAGTGTCCGCCGCAAGCGGGGTATGGGGGAGGGGGCTTTCCCCTTGCTCTTGAGCAGCCAGGGCAAGCGCCCCCGCCGCCGCGGCCGCCGCCAGGCTCCCCGCCCAAGCCAGCTGCGAGGGCGCCCCTTCGGCTGCCACTGGATGCCGGCGGCGGGGGTCACGGGCTGCAGCAGCACCCAGAGCAGCAGCAGGCGCAGCGGCACGCGGAGCAGAGTCAGCAAAGGGCGCCCGATGCTGACACAGGCGGCAACCGCGCCGTCGCGGCACAGCTGCGCGCCCGCTTGCAGGCCGCGCGTAGCCAACCACCAGCAGCGGCAGTGCGACCGGCGTCTGAGCCTCCGCCGGCCTTGTCATCACCGGCCTTGCAACCGCCGACAGGAGCCACGTCCGCATTGCCGGAGGACGACAGAGCAGCAGGCGTGGCACCAGGCAAAAGCGAGCCCGAAGAGGCTGCACCACCTGCCGAGATGCCAGGAGCGGAAGCCCTGGCTGCCACGGCTGCACCCCAGCCAACGCCCGTGGCGGACGCCACGGGGCAACCTCAGCGCGACGCCGTCGCCGGGCGCGGTCATGCAGCTGAGCAGCTGGCGGCCAGCGTGGAGGCGGACCGGGATTCGGAGCTGCAGCCGCCACCCCCGGCGCTGGCGTGGCCGTCGGCGCGCGGGAGCGGAGTCGTGCTGCTGGGCACGGGCTCGGCGGAGCCATCCAAGTATCGCGGGCCAAGCGGCATCCTGCTGCGGGTGTGCAACTCTGGCATGGGGCGACAGCAGCGGCAGCAGCAACTGCAGCAGCAGCAGCAGCAGCAGCAGCAGCAGCAGCAGCAGCAGCAGCAGCACAGCCAGCTCAGGAGTGATGACGCGGGCTGGATGCTGCTGGATTGCGGCGAGGGCACGTGGGGCCAGGTGGTGCGGCTGCTAGGGGCGTCTGCTGCCGCCCAGCTGGTAGGTTTTCGCTGCTTCGAATGCGGCCGCTGCCTGTCCCCCAGCTGCATCTGGTCCCCAGCCCCACTCTCTCTGCAGCACCCAGCGCACCACCCAGCGCCGGCCGTCGCGCTCAATGACCATCCATTTCTGAATTTTCCTCCCTACAAATCGCCCCGTTCCCTCCCCAGGCGGCCTCCCTGGCATGCGTCTGGGTGTCCCACCGCCATGCAGACCACATGCTGGGCCTGCCCGCGGTCCTGTCCGCGCGGCCCGCCTCGGGCCCGCCCCTACTGGTGGTCGGCCCCGCCGAGGCGCGCGACTGGCTGGCCGCGCTCGCGCCCCATCACGTCGCGTGGCGGTACGAGTTCCTGCCGCTGCAGCACTTCAGCGGCGCCGCCGTCGCGGGGGCGGGGGCGGTGGCGGGGGCGGCGGCGGTGATGGGCGGGCGGCTGGGGTTCAGCGGGTGGACCTCTGTCGCGGTGGACCACTGCCACGGCGCGTTTGGGCTGGTGCTGGAGCACTCTCAGGTGCGGTGCAGCGTTGGCTGCTTGTTGGGCGGCAGCCCACCTCTGAGGCGTGCTGGTTTTGCCTGTTGGGCAAATCAGCATCTGCCGCGATGCAAGATACAGCCTGGTTTCGCCCCGCCCCTATTGCCTGAACGCTCTGTCCCTACAGTCACATACTCAATTGTGTGTCTATTAGTTCAGGCCTGGCAGCTCGTGGAGTCATAGACCCATTCCGCAACCGCCCTTTGGCCCCCCACTTGCATGCACGTACTCTCACTGTAACACACACACTCAGACACACACACACACACACACACACACACACACACGCACGCACGCACACGCACACACACACACACAGTGCATACCTCGTTCTCGCTCTCGCTCTCTCTCCGACCAAAAACGCAAACTGACACAATCACAAACACACAAACACACGCACACGCCCCTTTCCTGACAGGGCTGGAAGCTGGTGTACTCTGGCGACACTCGCCCCTGTGAGCGCCTCGCGCGGGCCGGTGCCGGCGCCACCCTGCTGATACACGAGGCCACCTTCGAGCCAGGCCTGGAGGCTCACGCGCTGCGGAAGCGCCACAGCACCAGCGCCGAAGCCATTGATGCGGGGCGGCGCATGGGCGCGTACCGGACGCTGCTGACCCACTTCAGCCAGAGATACCCGAAGCTGCCCGCCGGCCTGGACGCGGCCGCGGCGCGGTGGCGGGAGCGCCCGCTGCTCGGCTTTGACGGGATGGTGGTGCCTCTGGCGCTGCTGCCACAGCTGCCAGCTCTGACGCCGCTGGTGGCAGCGGCGCTCGGGGAGACGGGCCCTGAGGGCAGGGTTGGCGGCGACGAGGCGGGGCCGCTTGCAGTGAAATCCTGAAATGATCCCGGCTGGGCTGGGCGGCTGCGCGGTATGGTAATGCCAGGCAGGAGTGTATGACAGGCGTGCGTCCCACTGTCACATGGCTGTCATGGCTGTAGTGCTCAGTATACGCTGAGATGGACAGTGCTCAAGGACCAATGGCCATGCAGCACGGCAACAATCCAAGGAGCAAGGCCTGGCCTCTTTGTGGGCCAGACTGGAGAGGCCGACCTCGGCGACCCATCCAAAATCTACTGGGAGGTTTTGCGTTGCAGCCCTTCATCTTTGCTCGTCCTGACATCGCGGGGCAGCTGGTTCCACCAGCGCGCAGCTGCCCACGGTGACAAAACACGTACGGCCAGCATCACAGTATCGATTGAGACTAGTGATAATAACACAACAAGCGCTCACAGCAGCCCGATCGCTCACAACGACCCTCATCAGGCGTCCCGCGCGTGGTGGCATTGAAGGCGGGGCCGCAGCTTCACACAGCAGTTGTTCGGAATCGGAATTTTGAAAGCTATCAGGTGGGGACGCTCTCGGTGGGCAGCACGGCTGGCGCCAGGTTGCGCTCCCAATGAGAGGGCTGTGGCAGGTGCACATCCCGCAGCTGCTCCCCAGGGATGCGGCTGCCAGGGGCACACCGAGCGCAGCGCGATGCGCCTAGGAACCTACGCACACATGGACCCCGCCGCTTGCTCAGCAGCCACGCTTCGTTGCACTAGCGGGCGCGCGGCTGCCGCTGCGGCGCCGCAGCATCACGCAGCCGACGCAGCTTCCGACGGCCCCGTCCCCCAGGGTGATCGACACGCCCCTTGCAAGCGCGCCGGCCCCTCTCCCCTGGCCCACACGCCGCACCTCACTCCTCCACCTTCGCTCAGCCAGACCAAGGGGCGCACCCGTGGCGGCGGCAGGGGCGGGCATGGCAGACCAGGCGGCGCCGGCTGACGCGCCGCCCATGGCCATGGCGCAGGACCCCATGTCTCAGGCCGCGCAGCTGCAGGCTGCGGAGGCAATCCGGCTGCAGGTGCATGCGAGCGCGCGCATGCACGTTGCAACACCTCAGCCGCTGCACGCCGCGCCCGTCCGCCGCCTTGCGGCCGCTGCGTCGGCAGCGTTCCATGCTTTGAAAGGAAATCGCTCGAGGCTGTGCCTGCGCGCGGCAGCCAGCGTCCAGCTTGCCGGGTCAGCGCGGCAACCAACCTTTTCCCTGCCGCCCTCCCTGCATGGTTGATCGCCGCCCGGACTAATATGTACTATGTCTGCATGCAGATGGAGGTGGGTGCGTGGGCTAGCTGAAGAGGGTTGGGAAGCGGGGTGCGACTGCAAACAGCCCCGGCGCCCGGCCCTTCGCCTGCCATGGCGCCCAAGAGGGAACGCCGGCGCGCAGCGGCGATGAGCTCCTGCGCCCGCGCCTCCTGCCGCTGAGGCTGCTCCGCACACCGCCAACTTTGAAGGAAGTAATCGCCATCCTCTTTGCACCACAACATCAGCGCACCACCTCTGACCCCCCCCC